AAAATATACTTATAAAATGATAATATAAAAAAAAATTATTGCTTCGTATCTTTATTAAATAAAATTAATATAAAAGGTTATTAATTTCTTGAAAAACTAATTCTTGTTTATTAAAGTCGACTTTTCGGATCATTAAAAGTCATCGAAATAAATTAAAATTAAGCAATTATTAATCTTATGTTTAACAAATTTCATTTTATGAGCTGCTTTTAATTATTTTCATGATGTTTATTATTTCCCCTTTACTATATATACGTAAAATAAAATCCATAAATGTATTATTAAATTTGTACAAAATTTCATAATATCAGATGAACATATTAAACAACCTATTGTTACTACTTTTTATAATAAAGTGTTAGTCTGAGACACTTATTTACACAAATTATTTTAATAGCCGATCCATAGGTATATTTTAGATTTTAATATTAGATTGGTATATAAACTAGTATATAAACTAGAGGGAATCATATTGCCACTCAAAATGGATTATGGGAGGTTATAATTGTTTTGACTCTCGAACTTTCATTCAAAAAACATTTAAGCTCCAACCACATTATTAATTAAGACTTAGATTTTTGTTTTGGAGGTTTAATATTTAGAAATAATTATAGAATAGACTATTGGAGTGGACATCGATTTAAAGTTTATATAGATAATATTGAAAATCATAATTAATAATATAATCACAGTTCAAGTTTAAATAATCTTTGTGGAAGCTCATCTTATAATGATGAAACTTTTTAACTGGATTTGAATACTTATCATTATAGCTCAACTGTTTAAATATTAATATCAGGTGAAAGCATTTGGGGAATTTCAGATATTTAATTATATATCGAAAAATGTCCAAAAGGTTGCGATTCTTGTAACTAGAATGGATGCTACAGTTAAATATTATATATTGAATATTTTACTACTTAATATTTCAATCTTAATTCAAATGAAAGATGGTAATCTGACAATGGTATTTTTTATTACGATCGGCTGGATCCAGGAGGTATTATTACAAATTATTCTAGATTTTTATATTTATAGATTACTCCAATGGTCCTAAAAAAAAACAATATATCTAACACCTCATGATGCTGTTAGTATTTAATTTAAAATAATAACTATAAATTTATATCATTAATTTGAAATATTAATTGATGATATGTTAGTACTCATTTTAAATACAGCAATGTAAGTATCTCTAACCTCTAGTTATTACTGGTATAATTATTTGATCACAAGTCAGATTAATATTCATTAATATAGGCATAACCTAAATTAGATTACTTTAACAATTAGATAGAAATCTAGTGCTAGGTATACATCAAGTTATTCTGATTATTATGGAATTAGAGATTTTTAATTATTTCTTAAAACATATGATAATTGTTTTGATGATAATATTTAACCATTTGATGGATGTTTTGCTAATATTTATGATTGTATTATAGGTTGTTAAAATTGTGTAAGAGGTATATGTTTGAAATGTTAAGAAGGATGGCAATATTATGAATAGAATAAGAATTGTATACCGATATGTGGTGATTCAATAATAACTTATTTTGAAGAATGCGATGATGGTAACACATATCAATATGATGGGTGCTATTAATGTAAATATTCTTGCCCTTTGGATTGTAGTGAATGTTAATTTGGAAAATGCAAATAATGTTAACCTAGGTATGAATTAATAAATGGATATTGTAAATATAATTGTGATGTTTATGAGATTTAGGATGATTAAGAAAATAGAAATTGTATTAATAGAATTAATAATTTGATTGAGAATGGTCATTACTAACATAATCTATTTAATAACGAAAATTCTAAATATACTTTAGTCAGTAGTTTAACATGTAATCTATAAGATTTTGGAATTTTTGGATATTTTTATAATTAATGTAGAATACCAGTTATACAATATTGTAAGGAAAGTCTTTATGATATATGTCTAGAATGTGATGAATATTATAAATTGGAATATAATAAATATAAATGTACTCCCTTATGTAATGATGGAATTGTAATAGAGAGAGAATAATGTGATGATTAAAA